ATCATGACTAATATTAATATTCTGTTATTAGGTTCTGATGATGGAGGACAGTTGAGGCAAAGACCTTGTAAGTTCTACCAATATTGATGTAATAATAGAAAATAATAAAATGGTGATATACATTTAATTTGTAGCTGCTGCTCCTAGTAATGAATCAAGTGGAACAGAAGGAGCTGATAAACCTCCTCCACCTTCTAATCCTTCATCTTCTGGTAAATGTAATCATCTTTTAAATATTCCTATATTCCTTTTCTTGTACATAGTCACGACAATTATGATTTTTCTTGGAGTAGCACTGCTTCTCTTTGCTTTGTTTCTTGTGATTTTTTGGAAGTAAACTAATAGGGCTATGGCAATGGTACAGTTGCCACACCACTAGCAAACATTTTGGAACTGTTGACAATTAGGGGGCTCTTATTTTTTATTTTTATATTAAGTATTCATACTCTATTACTCTCTAATACTATTATTATCTGCTAAAACCACTCACCACGCCTGCAGGCTGCATGCACTCATTGCACTGAAGAGTAAAGGGAGAGACAGCGAGATTATATTGCAGCTCGGATTATACAGAAGGGATAACCAACTAGTTGGAACGTTATGAAGGATCTTATTTCTATGATCCCTCGAATAAAAGGTATAAGATCAAGCCTAACCATGAATAACAAAGTGACCTTGTATATTCATGTCAGGAAAAACAAGCAACGCTAACGGTCTCTATTTGGTCTTCCTTCTCCTTTTGTCAGGAGATATTGAGCTCAACCCTGGTCCAGGTAATAGACCTTTGTTGAACTAAGTGTCTATATTGCTGTAGGGGACCCAAGAGATATACTACGAGCAAAATCTGATACTCTTGCTAATTTAATTTCTGGCAATCTTGACAGAGTAGCTGGAAAACTGAATGCTAAGGGTCTAATACCACAACAAGCGGTGGACGATACCTCAATAGCAGCTTATAATAGCTATAGAAAAGCTGCTGCACTAGTGGGTGTACTGCTAATACAATTGCGTTCCTCTAATAATCCCCAACGGTATTTCATTGATGTCTGCAATGTCTTAAGGGATAAGGGTTTAGGAGATGAAGCATTAGCAACACTTGCTGATGATATGTTGAAGGAATTGGGCAGTGTTCAACAAGGTTAGGTGACACTGATATCAATATGCATAAGTGCATTTACATTACAGGACAAATGAATGGGCATGCTAAGGGTAGAGCATCAAATGGAAGAACATCAAATGGAAGAGCCACAGTATACACTTGTAAGAAAAAATGATACCTAGAATAATATAAATCATGGAGAAAAGTAGATCCCTTTTGGAGCTCACTAGCCACATGAAAATTCATTTTTGAGAGCAATCTTGAGCAGTCACTTACTGTGACTATCCCTGTCTTATCTTAATTTAAAGAGTGCATTATCTTATCATGGTGGCTACAGTTGTTGATACAGCTGCTTCAGTATCACTTTATTATTTTATTTTTATTGTACATGTATGACATTATTATTTCATTTGTCTAGCATCACCGAGTAAACTATCAATCAAAGATCTAAAAGAAGTGCTAGATGATTTGAGGGAAGGAGGTTTTTGTGATAATAGCTATTATGACCTTGGTCTGGAGTTAGGCCTCTATCGTCGTACATTGGGTAACATTAAAGCAGATAGTTATATAGCTTGTCTGAGGGAGTGTATTGCAAGATGGTTAGAAAGAGCTGATAACGTTGATGGTCATGGAGGAGCAAATTGGACCTCATTGTGTAATGCAGTAGAAAAGATCGACAAAGCAGCAGCTGACTATATCAGTTAGTTGATAATTCTATTATAATTGTACAATTCCATATACCGTAGTTGTCCTTTTATACTTTCATATAAAGTCTTTTCCTTATTATAGGAGACCAACATCATATAATGCCATCAGCCCCATCACAACCAATTGAGCAAGGTATTCAAATGTAATGTTAATTATTATTTATGATGCATAAAATGTAGCAAATCATCAAGATCATAATGAAGCATCACAAATTACAAGTAAGTTGTACATTAGTTGATATTGTTCGTTTTGTACACTAGTGGTTTCACATTATTTTATCATTATTTTATCATTACTGTATAGCATAAAAATTTTGTAGAGTTTTAAATATACAAAAAGTGCAAAATTTAAATTTTGTAAATTATATTCATGAAAAAATTATTACTCCTCTGATAGCTATTTTAAAAAACTTGCTAAACTATATTCTCTACAAACTTTCATGCTATATAGACCCCCTAGGCGCTAAGACTATTTTGTATGAATTATTTACGGTAGCCACCCACGATTAAAATTACTGACGGCAAGAAGCTCTCCACATCAAAGGCAGATCAAAGCCCAAGGTGCCGAAATGAAGCATAGCAAGAAAACTATGCTGCAGCAAGAGTTACCTGGTCTATATGGTGTTGTCTGGCCTCCATACTTTCCTTAAATGCTGCTTGTCTGTAGTACCTTGTAGCGCTCAGAAAAATGGCCAGGCGGTGTCACCGCCTTTGATTTTCTTTTGATCTCGAGGCCTTCTTGCCGTCAGTAATTTACATAGTGGGCGGATACCGTATAGGAAAATTTTATTTATTATAAATGAATATCATTATTGTAATCATATTCATTGAAAATAATCTTAGTGCCTAGGGGGTCTATAGTGTTCTAAGGGCTTGATCAGGAGGAGAAGGTTTTTTATCCCAAAAGATCATTATAATTAAATTTTTTGCCATGTCAATGATAATTATGTCCAAGAAAATTTATAATCATTTTTCATTATTGAAACACTATAGGTTCTAATGAAGGGCCACGACATAGACAGAAACCTTGTAAGTTCTGTAAAATTACCATATAGTACAAAAAATTTTGAGGGCTTTAAATTTTGCAAATTTCATAAATTTTTGAAAATTTATAAAAATTACTTCCATGAAAACCAAATTGTTACAGTAAAAGGTGGCAGACAGCATAAATTAGCGAAATAGATTTTATGCAAATTTATGAAATTTATAGCCCTTGAAATTCTGCACTATACAGTACTTGTCTTAAAAGCTTTGTAACTCCAATAATACTAAAAAATAATTTTTAGCTGATGCTACTGATAATGAATCAAAAGAAGCAGAAGAAACTGATAGTACTCCACCTTCTAATCCATTGGTTCCTGAGGCTTCATCTGGTAAATTTTATATACTCTTGAATATGGCTTTAAAAATTTTTCTTTACAGACAAGCCACTCAAATGGTATGAAAAGAAATCTGTCATAGTATTGGTTTTTTGCCTCGTGCTCCTTGCTTTTGTTGTGGACAAAATATTTTTAAATGGCTACGTGAAAGAGCTATTATTAGCTATTATCGGTGTCATACATCATTTCAAATAGGCTTTTATTTTTGTATTAACTTATAAAGTTTTGTGCAAAAGTTATGATTGCCTAGTTTTGTGTAAAAATTTATCACTGGCATAAATGTATCATGTGTTGGTATAAGTATGGAGATAGGATTACATTATACATATTAAAGGATGATATTCAATGTGTTCTGTGATCTCATAACTAATTTCACGAGGTGCTATAGACTTTCTTTATTGCCATAGCAACAGTTTATCTGCTGCTATACTTTCAAATCTAAAGATTGTTAGTGTCCTTCCATTCCGGCCTGATAGTGCATGTAAGTGGTCTTTATTATTCTATTTCTCACCTTCTTTCTTCAAGTACTAAATTGTGGTCAAGGCTTAACATTCCATATGGCAGCACTTTGAACAAAGATTTGGAACCTTTGTCCTACCCTAACTTACTCCTCTATATAGTTATATCGATAATCCTGCTTCCAATATTTTATTGCTTACATTTTGGCATTCTAACAAAATGTCCAGCATGCAAGTTGTAGAAAATTATTTCAAAGACAAAAAGAATGGTCAAGCAAGTGAAAATGAACTGAAATGTGCATGCACTGAGAAAAATATATTTTTTAATAGGAAATACGCATTAAAGAAATTAGAGTAAGTGGTCCTGAAGGTGATCTTCACCACAGATCTGTCAGAGGTGCAAAAGGATCACAGGAATTTGCTATTGACAATATTGCTATAAAGTAGATCTATATAAAATAGTGACTGAAATAACTCTTTAACTGCGCATAGGTCTAAAGATCCATTGCTCACTCGTGCTTTTAATAATGGTAATTTATACATAATGCATCATAACATACGGAGTTATTGGGTTTGTTACATCATCCATACTCTGTGTACATTAAAGTCAAATTTTGGAAAATGGAGCTTAAAATTAAAATTAAAACTACAAGTTGTTAATGGGGGGGGGGGTGCTACAGATCTATAAGCTTTGATTTTATTTCAGCCATGAATATTAAAATACTTTACTGTCAATTTAGGAATTTTCAGACTAGTACTTGGAATAGTATTCTTATTTTTGCTTGACTATTTAACGAACTGGGCTCCTAGTAAGTAAATAACACCATTAATAACTATTAATAATGCTATTATAATTTTACAGGTCTAAAAATAGTTCTTGGAGTGTGCATAGTTGTGTGGATGATTGCATTGGTTGTGACTTTTTTGGCCTGGATAAAAGGAGATTCTGCAACATCTTCCAGGCCTACTGCCCAATATTATCTAACCTAGCTAGTCTAGTTATGCTAAAAGTTTTATATCATCTGAATATTTTTGACAATGTAGATGACTACAAAACATTTTGCTAGCTTTTGTTGGTTAATATTTCGTTGAATATACAGGTGTGCCCACCACCTGCAGACAATTCAAAAATTTAAAAATACAAGCATGTACATGTATAAATAGATTTATTCAAAGAAACTTTAAAAAGTCCCAACAAGTATACAGAATTCAAATTAGTCAATCTCAGAGGTACAACAAGCTAAAAGAGTTGTTAATGTTACTATATAATACCACTGAATGATGACATGATTTATGAACAATGTTAAAACAAGATTTTCATATTAACATGTATACATAGAGACATTGGGCCTGGTGTATCTCATTCTAACCTTAGAGACAGTGAAAAATGAATCTATTTTACATCATTAAGTAAGTGCAGATCTATTCGTTACATTGCCAGTAATTGTAAACAAAATCAAGGGAGTGGCTGGTAGCAATGGCTACAGTAGAGAAGAGCTTTCTTTTGTTAAAGAATTGCTTAAGCATGTGGAGATAGTGTCCAGTTTATTTTAACATCTTGACAGATCCTCATATTGTGAACTGCTGTGGAAATTTATGAGGGTCTTGTATTATGAGTAAAAGCTTACAGATCCTGACATGTCCTTTTGTTGTGGACTCAGTAGTTACATGAAAGAATTATTATTAGCTATTATTTCTGTCATAGATACCTCATTCGAAATTTTTTCAGATAAGTGATTCCTGTAATCTTCAGACTTAGATCTATGCACCATGGGTTTGTCCTTATTGCAATAGCTGCATGCTGTATATATCAACACAATTTGGTCTACACAGATCTATTTGTTAGTGTCCTATAGCCCTAAACCCTAATAATGCAAGTAAGTGATCCTTATTCTATTTCTCATCTTCTTTCTGCTTTTAACTTAATTTTGAATCAGAGAGAGAGAATGTGTGTGTGTAATCCAGATTCGTAGTGTTTACCTTGACTAAGACTAAGTCCATTAGTAAGATGTGCAGGCTAATACTAAAGTGTTTAATTAGCCTTAACACTGTAGCCCCTGCAGAAGAATGAGGATATTATAGGGAGTGAGAACATAGTTAATAGACTATGGTGAGAATGAGCAAGAGAAGCCTGTAGATCTATTATGTTTAGTATATGCATGTATATATGCATGAGTAGATATCCAAGTACTCTTGCTAATATTTCATGGTTTGCTCCTATAGTCTGTTCACGTTGACTTCTAACTCATTACTTTATGCAGACTTGGCTTCAAACATGGTCAAGGTGTTAAGTAGATGTTAAGTGAGTATGAAGTAGTTATGAATTTCATTATTATTAATTAGCATGAATTATAAAAACATTGGATTAAAACACTATTATTATACATAAAAATCAGACTCATCCAGAGCGGCCAAGTCATCATCAGAGTCAGGGTCTGATGGTAGTACTTCATCATCTTTATTATCATATTAATCATCGGATTTACCACCAATTAGACAACAAAGAATCATGGATGACAAATTCCCGAATTCCGTCCAGTTCCCAGTTGTGATCCTCAAAATTATCTTGAACATGTTTTACCAAGTTCTTCTATTTATCAGGAGTAACTAAATCAAACCCTTCCTGCCCTGGCTATTCAATCTAACTCCTTGCTTTCTCTTCTTCTCACTTTGGACGCCATTTTAAACAATTTATTCTAACTTCCGGTCACACCTCCTGT